GAACAAAAATAAGTGTAACTGCACTAAAATCCAGCATTTAAAACTTGACAATTGTTCTAAACCTTCCCAATTTTTTCGACTAAAAAAAAGTGTTGTCTTGGGCTGGGCTTTAAGGCAACAAGATATGCCAATATTTTCTTTCCTGGCCATCTCTAAATACCTGTTGATATATTTACAGAGCTAGATTTAGCTGAGCAAAAGATGTGAGTAATATGGATGAGAAGTGTCCACAGTCTCTCTGTAGCTCAAGTAACATGCAGCTATCAGTTGTAATAAACTGTGCAGTCCCATAACATTTCTGATATAGAAAAAGCTGAAACTTTTCAACATCTTTTCCATTTGTGGATCTGTATGCCTTTTAGGACAAAAAAAAGTGCAGCATTATTGTATCTTGGATGTCTCTTGCTGTTGTACCAGGGTTCTGTGAGCTGGAAAAGGAAGTAAAGGACGCTTTGTATGTGTTTAGTCCTATAACATTTCTGAATATAAATCAGGGAGGACAGCAAGTGACACGAGGGGAAACCATCTACAGGGATCTTTATCACTTATGTATGCCAAAGACAGGGCAATATCTAAACGTAGACCAGATATAAACATGCCCTTTATTGCAAACTGCATATTCAAGCTTCCTTTAGCCCAATTATTAGAATGTTGACCTTGAAAGCAAAGACGCCTGCTGAAATATGCATGCCTATAGGCAGACTGCAGTGATAAATTACTAGAGATCTGCAGTGATGGGGTAATTTACATTTCAACAGACGTTCCTAAGGAGTCAGTTTTTCATTTGCCTACAAAATATATTTGCATTGCTTTGAAGTAATTTCTTTTTTACATGTTTATTTGAAGGGTCAGTCTGGCCAAACTGAATGTAGTAGGTTGGTATTGGCTAGATGGCTTGTTCACTAGCTTTGCAGAACATTTTTCTTTCAAGCTGTCCAACACCTGAGTTCCCTGGTCTGCGTGCCTGCCCTGGCCATCACACGCAGACTCATTTTTTGCTAAATTTTCATTTTGCATTATGACAGGGAGACACTCTTGCTTCAACATGAAGACTGAGACTCTGTAGTAGAGGAGGAAATGTAGAATGTAGGTGGAAATGTAGGTGGAAATGTAGAATGTGTGCCAGAGCCCCTGTTCAAAGGGGAACCCAGACCATCTCCACAGACTCCTCAACAGAGCAGAATGTAGAAGGCTCCACAATATATCTGCACCTGTGATTTCAACTGGTCCAAAGCATCTTCCATGTGCAGCTGTGCTCTGGTGTATGTCATTGGCACCCACTTCCGATTTTTATTAATGGAGCCTGTAGACACATAGCGTCCAAAACACCCTTCTGCTAGGAACACCTCCATGGTACAGAACAATTTTGTTATTCAATGATCCTACCCTGACATAGAATGATATCACAATGTGTAAGCTAGAAAGGTTTTACCGATTGTGGAAAAAATAATGTGTGACTGGAAACAATGCAGGAAAAAGTTGCCTCTTGGTCTTTGCTGTCTATAGGCACAAGCAGGGCCGTCCCTTTAATGAGGCAGCCTGAAGAGGTTGCCTCAGTGGCATCTCACTGATGGACGGCGGCAGCATCCCAGGTTGCTACGGCACCATAGACTTGTGCCTATGGTGCCGTAGTATGGTGTCTAATGGTACATCAGGCCCTGCTGGTATTTTCTGTTCAGCTTGTTTTGGATAAGTGTTCTGAACAGTGGCCGCAAAGGAGAATGATAAAGTAGGGGGAGATCCAAACTGGCAACAAGGCCTGGGTATCATTAGCAAGGTGATTTATGCTAAAGATTCAGATGGTTTTATCTGACTAGTAGTGGTAATTTGGTAATGTATGGGTTAAAACAGAAAGTATTCATATGTAAAGAAGGATTTTGGATTCTGCTGCTGACAAAATGCTAGTTTCTTACCTGCCATGCTAGTCTGCTGGCTTCAAGTTTTA